TGGAGAGGGTAAAAAAGCTAATGAAATGAATATATCTGAAAGTGACCACTGGGGTATAAGCATGTATTTTTATTTATTTTTTAAATGTTTATTTTTGAGAGAGAGAGAGAGAGCATGAGCAAAGCGGGGAAGGAGCAGAGAGAGAGGGGGACAGAGGATCCAAAAGAGGCTCTGTGCTGACAGTAGAGAGCCCGATGCAGGGCTCGAACTCCCAAACTGTGAGATCATGACCTGAGCTGAAGTCAGACGCTTACCCGACTGAGCCACCAAGGTGCCCCTAACCATATATTTTAAATGGAAAGCCAGCATATAATATAGTCACTCTCTTACATAAGAAAAAAAATATTTAAAAAATATCAAAGACACATATTTTCACCACTCAAATTTGCCACAGCAGTTGTTCAAGAAGAAAAAAGTATAAATACAGACAAGGGAAAAATTAAATACTGATTATTACAGAGAATGCTTGTAAGTGTTAACTGGGTGCCTCATCTGTGCCAAGTACTGTTTGTTCTAGGCACTATGAATACAACAATGAACAAGGTGAGACTGCTCTCATGAAATTGAAATTTTTAAGGGGAGAAAACACAATAGATAACAACAAAAAGCAAATAAATGAATAAAAAAGTTGCAGATAGCTATGAGTGTCATGTGAAGAATTAAAATAGGATGACTCGGAGACTGGGAAACACTAGGTTGTGGAGGGGAAAATTAAGATTTTTATTTTGGCATAATTATATAAATAAAAATCTAAGGAAATTCATAGTTTCAGTCAAGTAAGATATATAGGTCTAAAGATCTGTTGTAGAACATCGCACATACTGTCAATAATGTATTGTGCACTTAAAAATTTAAGAGGGTAGATTTTGTGTTAAATGTTTATACTACATACACAACAAACAAGTTCAAGGAAATTAACCAAAAAACTTTATTAGAGACAGTGAAGTCAACAAACTAGTAGATACACAATAAATTCACCAAGAATCATTTGGATTCCTCAATGCTTACGCAAAAAGAGACAACATATTTAATAGCATTAAAATTCAGTAAATCCATAAGTATTAATTTAATTTGGGATATGGGTTTCTCACCTAGGTCAGAAATTCTAAAAGAAACAAAAGTGATGATATGCCTAAGTAAAACCATAAACTGTGTTCCTAATTTTAAACTTATATGCCAATTTAGATACCTGATATAGCTTGAAAATATCAATAATGAAAACTTATCTGGAAGAATAAGCTGGCAGAAATACCAAAGGCCACTATTTTTGAAAAGATAATATATCTTACGAGATTTTAAAAGTGAATAAAAAGTTGAATTATCATAACAGACAGTAATGTGTTAAAGAAGGAAGGCTGACAAATAGCCTGGAAGATCTGAAAAAGCATTCCAGCTCTCGTAAGAAACTTAAAAAAAAATTTTTTTTAATGTTTATTTCTGAGAGAGAGAGAGAGAGAGACAGAGCATGAGTGGGGGAGGGGTAGAGAGAGAGGGAGACACAGAAATCAGAAGCAGGCTCCAGGCTCTGAGCTGTCAGCACAGAGCCCGACGAGGGGGATCATGACCTGAGCCAAAGTCGGTTGGGTCGCTCAACCGACTGAGCCACCCAGGTGCCCCTCGTAAGAAACTTTTATGACAAGATTAAGCAACCAAAACAATGAAGATCTTGATCAACCAGTTTAAAAACGTATTACAAAGCGACATTTTTTTCATTCAGTGACAGGTTTTATAAAAACAACTAAATGTAACTAAATTTGAAAGATCTTTCTCACTGCTATGCAGAAAATGACGTAAAGGTAAAAGTGAAAGTGCGGCAACATGAGAGGAGGTGAGATGGTGAGAGATAGTGACTTGGCTTAATGAGGTGGCAGTGAAGATGGAGGAGTGAACAGTTTTATGGATTTTGGTGGTAAAATCAGTAGGATATGGGGTCTGATTAGATGCCAAGGATGAGAGCATTGTCAAAGATGCCTCCCACATGTCTAGATTTGTCTGAAGAGAAAGAGGGGTCATTACTAACAAGATGGAAAAAATAAGGCAGAAACAGATTTGATGGGAAAAAGTTTAGGGCTGAAAACTAATGAAGGAATAGGAAACGGAAAGATCAATGGAATAAAGTCCAAAAAAACAGTACAACATAATAGGATTCAGCAGGCAATACAAATGGTATTTCAAACAAGGGAGATGGAGGCATAAATTATTCAGTAATTCTTGTTGCTACCAAATTGGGGGACAGAGAATTGGAACCCTACCTCACAACTGACATCACAATGGATTCCAAATGAATTAGAGATTTAAATCTATTTTTTTAAATTTATTTATTTTTGAAAGACAGAGTGTGAATGGGGTAGGGGCAGAGAGAGACAGACAGAATCTGAAGCAGGCTCCAGGCTCTGAGCTGTCAGCACAGAGCCTGATGTGGGGCTCAAAGAACCGTGATATCATGACCTGAGCTGAAGTCGGACACTAAACTGACGGAGCCACCCAAGCGCCCCTTTATTTTTGAAAGAGGGAGAGAGAGAATGCGAGCGGGGGAGGGCTACAGTGAAAGGGAGACACAGGATCCAAAGCAGGCTCTGTGCTAACAGCAGATAGCCTGATGACACGGGGCTCGAACTCATGAACCTTGAGATCATGACCTGAGCCAAAGTCAGACGCTTAACCAACTGAGCCACCCAGGTGCCCAAAGATTTAAATCTAAAAACACAACTGTAAAAGCAGAGAAAAATGTGGTAATTTCCAATTTTATTTAAATTTCTGTATTATAAAGTGGGGAAAGTGGCTTAAAGTACGCCAGCACTGCAAAAAACCATAAAGGAAAAAATACCAAAATTACTACATAAGTTTAAAGCTTCAGAATTGCCAGAGGGGAGGGAGGTGGAAATTAAATGGTAAAAAAAAAAAAAAAAAAAAAAAAAAAAAAAAAACTAGGAGAAATGTTTCCCATGCATTTAAGAGTTGTAATAACTAACATAATTCACAAATGAAATACAAATGGCCAAAAAATATCCTAGGGCATTCAACCTCAATAATTAATAGAAAATACCAGAATAATTTCTCTGAAAGGATGGAGAGTGGGCATGCATCTGTTTTTGGGTACACTCACAATCTAATGTGTAGGAAACTACAGCTCACCAACACTAATGATGACAGATGTAAGATACTAAAATTTTTTGAAAGGCCATTTGGCAATATGTATCAAAAGGCCTCCAAACAGGGCATATAGTTTGACTCATCAATCCTACACTTAACTTAATAATTTGTTTAAGGAACATACTTTTTGGGGATGAGCACTGGGTCTCATATGTAAAAGATAAATCACTGGGTTCTACTCCTGAAGCCAAAACTACACTGTATGTCAACCAACTTGAATTTAAATAATAAATAAATAAATAAATAAATAAATAAATAAATAAACAAACAAACTAGAAAAAAAAGAATCTATTGTAAGGGAAGGATTGTAGAACCCTATCATTGCAACGTGTGTGACAGTAAAAATTGGAACCACAGACTAATTAAATAAAGCCATTAAAGGTGATGATGTAGTGAATCTATATTTTTGACTTGAAAAGATGCTTATATATACTGTTAGTGAAAAAAGCAGCTATGGTATGATTCCACTTTAACATTATTTATACCTATAAACAAATATACGCTACTCTAGATTAAGAAGAATCTAAAAAAATACCACTGTTATCTCTGCAATGGTATGACTATGGGTAAATTTCGTTTTATTATTCATCTTTTTCCCAATACCTAATTTCTTTACAACACACAGAACATGTTTGTATAAAAATATTCAGAATATACAAAATACAACAACAAATCAGTAAGAAAATTAAAACAATACAACAGAAAAGTGGGCAAAGGATATGAATAGGCAATTGACACAATAGCCAAAGAAAAAAAAATCAAAAGATGCTCAACTTCATTAATAACTAAAGAAATGCAAATCAAAGAGAGATAGAACATCACTCCATACAGCAAAAATTAGCATATCTAATTGCTTCAAATGCTTGTGAGGTTTACGTAGAAACAAGTATGCACATATATTGTTAGTAAAAATAAAGATTTATACAGGTTTTTGAGGGGCGCCTGGGTGGCGCAGTCGGTTAAGCGTCCGACTTCAGCCAGGTCACGATCTCGCGGTCCGTGAGTTCGAGCCCCGCGTCGGGCTCTGGGTTGATGGCTCAGAGCTTGGAGCCTGTTTCCGATTCTGTGTCTCCCTCTCTCTCTGTCCCTCCCCCGTTCATGCTCTGTCTCTCTCTGTCCCAAAAATAAATAAACGTTGAAAAAAAAAAAAAAAAAAAAAA